TTCACATTAAGAGCGTACCTTCGACAGCCAGACGAATGTACCTCGGGATCCATCCCTGCTAGACTCACGTGTGCACGGAGGGTACGATTCGCTTGGAGGAGGCGAGTGTTACGGTCTTGCTGGTTCTCGAGGACCTTGAGCGTGTCGTTATCGACATACTTGCCCTGGGCAAGCTTTACCAGAAGGAGGTGGAGCTTCCGGGTCTGCTCAGTATTCGCGCCAATAGAAGACTTGTACACTTCGCGTTCGCGAGCCAGCTTCTTCTGCAACGTGCTGATAAAAACGTCCCGAGCTTGGACCTCGCAGTGCAGACGATTCAAGTCTTCTGCGTGTCGTTCCATAGTGGCTTGAACAGTGGCGAGCATGGCGTCGTTCTTGGCGTTCGACTCGCGGAGAATCTTGACGTGGTGGTGTAAGGCTTCAATCTCAGCGTTTGCAGCCTTGAGGAAGGTCTCCGCGTTCTCACGAGCCATGATGTGGGGTGCCACCGAACGCACGGCGGCAGCAGCCTCGGACTGAGCAAACCGCAACTGACGCTCTAAGTCGGCAACGCGTTGGGGTAATGCCGACAGCGCGTCAGGAACAGGTTGTATCGCAGCGAGGACCTCATCGAAACCAATAGCTGTCTCGAGACGACGCTGAGTGTGTATATCGCCGTGGAGAGGAGGCACAACGCTGATCTGCACTTGGTGACGAGCCATTGCAGTCAAGTACGGGATTATCGAGGTCATCATGTGATCGACCGATGCCTCCGTACTTTCAGCCAGCATGCGCGCAGCGAATCTTCGGTGAGTGGTGGTGGACCACCAGCTGGGGCAGGAGGAGCAGCAGGAGCCATCTCCGCGATTCAGCGACGACGGGGAGTGCTGCAGGAGCTACCGCAGGAAGTGAAGAGTCTGGGGCAGCGGGCACCGGAGGACCGGTTGATGACGCTGCTGTCGGAGGAAGTGCAGCAGACTGAGGGGCGTTCGAACCCTCGGTCTTGCCCTCCTGAGAAACAAGTCGAGTAATGCGAGGTGATGAGCAAGGTACCGATGATTCAAGAGAAGGATGGGCTTACGTACCTCCAGCTGCTCACGCTCGCGACGTCTACGAGGATTGAGACGCTGAAACGCGTCGGACACGACTCGATTCAGACGCTTGGACATACGGTGGCGAGATGGTGAATTGAAGAATGAAGAAATGTCACAACGGGCACCAGTACCGTGGCTTCCATTGCGACAGGGGCAGTTGTGGTGTAGTGATTTCTCCGTGGTTGCGGATTATCACCCGTCGACAAAGACGTGACACCGCCCAAGTTGTTCAAGCGACGAACCCTCGGTCGGGTGATGTACGGAGACGCCAAGGTGCAAGGGACTCGACGGCGTCACCTCCGAGTTTTCAACAAATATCGGATACGGCCCTATGTCACTGAATCCAGGCTGTCCTTATTATTAATAATGGACTGGCCGGATTCGCATTCAGCGGACCATCTACGGTACGAACCCTCAGTGGCGGTTGGGATGAGTTCGCGGAATACTCAGCGACCTTTGGAAGACACGCTAACCGTCTGGGACAGGGCGCGGACCGTTAAAGATGCTCATGCGACAGTGCAGACGACGCTTGGCATGCAAGAAGATCCATAACGGATCATTGTTCACTTGATATTTGTATACTTGATTAGGACTTCTTATTAGGAATAGACCCGAAAGGGTAAGCTTAAATACAGAACAGAATTTCCACTCAAGCACACAGAGCGACGTCCGGCTTCAAGGTAAGCGTCAGGTCAAGCTTGTTTGAGTGTGTTATGCCTGTCGGTGAACTCGAAGCTCTGTAGCGAGGGTTCATCCGGCAAGGCCAAGAGACTTTGTGTATTGGCCGATTATTATCGGGAGGTTTTACGTGACGGCTTATTGTTGCCTATTTGCACGACTGGGAGTGCTTGAATTGCCTCCCTTTTATTTCTTCCAGCCGAGTGTTGAACACTCGGTGATCTCGTAAAAGGCTTACCCGTGCCTGGTACCCTTCCGCTGTTGGGACCACGAGGATTCAAAACACCTGCTAGCTTTGCTCGTGCTAGTAGCGTGTTCTTATTTTACTGGCTGGCCTATATAAGTAGTTTACAAGGTCCAGTTTGTCCCGGTGCAAGTCTTCAGGTCCGCCCGAACGATCGTTTACTATCCTAGTAGACGTATTGTTGTGGGAACATCCTAACTACATCTGTAGCTAGAGTTCACGTGGGATTTCCAACACCACATAGACGTAATTGTATTGAATGCCTTTGTTGGCATAATAGATGCCAAACACGTTCACGTTGTTCAAAGACAAGAAATATCATTGGGAAGGCGTAGAAGTCACACTTGACAGTGTCAAATTTTGACTGAAGTCCATCACGATCACAGCATGCTCATCGGAAACTGCTTGCGAGTCTTTCTGGTACTCTCACCTATATAAAAGTTCATAGTAAATCAGAATGATCTTAGAATCCTTGGTGAAGCAGAATGATTCTTGTGTACAACCCTCATAGCTTTAGCTGCGGCAGTGTGAACACCAGGCGCTTCGGTGAGTTCTGCAGTGACCTGAGAGCGCATACGTACGTACAATATAGAACCGAAGTCACACACGTTGCTGCGAGGAGATCGGATTCGAATGAGGGGACAATGTTTCTGTAAAAGCTGTCGGAAAGTTGATGGTCGAGATTCCCTCACCTCCAAGTCGTTCTCCACGACGTAGCTGTGCATCGCATTGTAGAGTTGGTCCCAGGTGAAGTAGGCAGGGAGCAGCGTATAGTTCTCGTCAGTATATTGCTTGCGGACCGCTCCGTCAACCGTCTTCTGCGTTCGAACTTTAACCGGGACGACGTCTCCCAGAGTCTTGGCGAACATTCGAAACCAGTTCGACAACCAGCGGATGTCTATCTTAGCGGCGTTAATGTTGAGCTGGCCCCGGTGTGTGTTGACAGAGGAAGCACCTCTCTGTATCTGTCGTCGGTAGCGCGTGATTGTTGCCGTGGAGATCCCATACACGGCGCACCATGAATCCCGACACACACGCCCTATTAGCGGTTAATAAAACGAGAAGACTTGCCGTTCACCACTCCCACGACGACGTACTGCGGTGTCTGTCTTTATCAACATCGCCAGCGAGGTCAGGATGCTCTGCTTCTTTTCATGCATAGTCATTTGCCCCAAAGAGCACAGGAAGTTTTCAAGGTCAGCTGCCGTGCCTTGAAGGCACTTCTCCGTGCAATGATCCTGCTGAATCAAACTCGTAACCTGCTCCCGAAGTTGGTCATCAGCCCAAACGATCCTACCCTCCACAGAGAAGTCCTCAACAGACTCTACGTCTGAATGATCCTGTAAGGCGTCCTCCAAGGCATCTTCAACGTCCTCAGCACTCGAATCGCCACTTGATTCGCCTGATATTGGCTCCCACACACTGCCATCTGACCCTTTACCGATGGTTGCGTCCGGGTCAGGTAGAAGAGAGTTCAGTAGATTCCTGTCATGTTGCCGACGCGCAGTGTTTGTCCTGGTACTGGCGTCGCTGGCCACAACCGAAGTGCTGGAAGAGTTTGTGCTGGTGTTCATCGTGCTCGTTCTAAAAGATACACCATAAAAAATTGGTCCGTTTGGAAAAACGCCTCTGCTGAAAAATTCGTTTAATTACGTTTTTGAGTGGTCAAACTTTAAAGCCGTTTATCTCGATAACTCTAAATGGTTCGTAAGGATCAGTTCGTTTCGCGCCGTCTCATATCATAACAGCACGTATGAATAATTTCTCATTGTCTAGCTATTAATAGAGTGGTAGATCGACGTATATATTAGTACCTGGCAGTACCGTTTTGATAGACTGAGTTACAAATGTACAATACAAGGTAGAGCTCACATCTTCAACGTACCACCAGAGATCCTTGGCACCGCGCTTTAATCTTGCTCGGCACTGGTAAGGCTGGCAGCCTGATCGTCAGCAGACATACTTGCGGTTTCTCCTGTATTGTACATAATAGCGACAGTCGCTTAGAAGGTATTATACATGACTAGCAAGCGAAATACGTACCAGCTCCTCCGCCGGTAGAAGACGATGCTGATAGGAGAGCGTGGGCTGTTGCCTTCTTCTGTTTCAGCTTTTCTGTAATCACTAGCAGGTTAGAATTAGACACGGTTTTATAAGCATACCGAGGGCTAGCCTGTCCAAATACTTTAGCAGTTCTTCGCCGCCTGTAAGGTAATCGACGCCCCGTACATCTGCCTTCGTCCTGCCGGGACGAATATATGTGTAGTCGCTCTCCAACCCCCGTGGCCTGCTGGATTTCCACCCCTCCTTTAGTAGCTTGGATCACACAGCTCTAAATGCTGTCGCCATCGTTTCCGTTTGTGCCAAATTTTAGAATGCCAGCAAACGAGTGGTTTACGAGAGTGACCTATAACACCTAATGGCAAGAACTGGCGCTCTTTCAAATACTCTGTCAATAGATATTAGAAAATTAAAATTGGACACGTCCATGAACCGCCGCTGTCATGTTTTTGTGTGTCAGCCTTCACAACACCTTCCCCTAGTTGACAGAAGGTTTGTATACTTCACTACTAATTATACATATATTCCTTATCATGTCTGATACCGGATAAACTTTCCGTGCAATCGTGTCTACTACAGGCCTTCGCTCTCGGGGGTTAAGAGCCTTTACCTCACGATTCAGTGCGACAAAGTACTTTCCTACTGGAGACCATACCGTCAAAATTCCAACTGTCCGACTGGGTTCCAACCTGATACCGGTACGATCTGCCAGTTCAAAAGCGGACTTTGCGCGGTACATGTGTTACACATAATAAAAACAAAATTAAAAAATCCCTTCTCTCTGAGGGCCCACATACCGTTTCTTTTTAGTCGCTGCGGAGGATCTGACTGCGGAACGCGATCCGGGATCGGACGGGCCAACACAACGAAGACGCCCGTCCACACCCAATCCAGGTTGGATTTCAGGTGTGGCTTTTTTGGATCAAGAAAAAGAAGGGTATACGCGCAAGCGGGCCATCTGGGGTGAGTGGAGAAAACGATAGGTGAACTTGCAGCGAAGTTGGAGACCGGGGTATCGATTATTGCTTGTCGTACATGTATCCAAGCTGAAACTGTTGAAGAAGTACCCGGATCGTCATCTCGTGATATAGGGTCACGATTGAGTGGATTTCGATGCGACCCTCCTATCAGAATGTAGTTGGACCCCGGATCTGGAGGCTAACACGTTCGAAGTCGGGAAGATGACGAACATGTGGTCAGGAAACAATCTCGATGCGAACGGATCTACCACGAACGTTTGGTACACTGGCTGGGTTGATGACGAGCCCAGTTGGGTGGACGAAGCAGGTATGAATTGCGGAGTGATTCTGTGTGCGTTTCTGTGGTATCGTAGGAGCCGAAATCGGTTCGGCATGATGCAGTCTCATGAAGAGAAGTGGAATGAGGATACACTGATGTGAGGTGGTCATATCGGTGGAAAGGGGAATAAAGATCCACAAGAAGGTCGCAGATCAGGAGGATGGAAATTGTATATGCATAAGGAGTGACGTTTGTGTGAGCAAGGCGTTCTAAGAAGTTATCGACCGCAAGACAACGGTATGTGGAAATAGAAGGTGGATCAGACTAAGGTCCCGTTGTTTGAAATGATCTGACTGAGATCCAGTTGTACGACTTAGCTGGATCCGGCTAAACCTCGGGTGTACGCGTCAGATTCGTTTCGGATTCAGTCATATAAGGGCAATGGAGTCAAGGGCCGACAAAACAAAAAATGGATTTCAAAAAATAGCATAACATAAGCCTGATGAAGTCAGTTCACTAAGTGCAGCTAGGATAATGATGTCCGGAGAACTTGTCTGGAGGCGCGACATCGAAAGACAAATGGAAGGTGGAATCTATAATCCCAATAGGAAGATGACTATGTGCAAGCAATATGGGCTTGGTAGCTCAAGGACTTGCCCGCCAGACGCGAGGTCAGATGGACTGGACGCTGGGTTCGATCGCTACGGAACTATTTGCGCCAGAGCACTGTTTCGTCGCTATCCTGTTTAGCGTTCAGCAAAGGCGCCGGCTTGGAGAGATCAAGGTTCTTATCTAGACCAGGCCTTTCGTCTAAGCCCTGCCAGCGTGAATGCGTCGTTTACCAAGTTGCTTGTTGAAATTTGAAGTCCATGCCGAATCCCGCAGCTGGATCCGAGGGATTAGGAACTTGTGCGAGCCCTCCCATAACGCGATCCGATGCTTGATACATAATTGTCGGTGGGCGCCAACAAACAATTCAATACACCTGCCGTCATATTTGTTGAAGCTGGTCGGATCCACAGGGGTTGCCATGATATCCAACGGTGCGGTCTTCTGCCGCTCTTCAACGTTGGATCGGTTAACCAGGGAGCCACATAATCCGACCGCTACGTCATACGCTTCACGCGGGAAGATCCACAATAATTCCGATAACAAGCTGGGGACCTTCATGGCGGCGATATCTTCTCAGTTGAGCTTTTTAGCGGACCAAGGCTCGATGGTATCCGTCGTAATGTATTGGACGGCATACGATCTGGGATGAACGCGTCATTCGGGCCGAACGGGACCATGGGGAGCTTACCTGACAAGGTGACGATGGATGGACCTGTCACAGAGGCGAATTCAGTGGACCCCCCATCGGTGCGGATCCAGCGTCGCCATCACTCTCGGACTCCTCTTCGCTACCAATCTCGATCGCAGATCGAGTGGTACCGTGCTTGGTCGGCTTGATTCCTCGGCGCAGATTGGGACTAACGTCGAGCCTCAGATCGGGATTGCGATAATACTCGTCAAATGGCCTCTTCCAACGCGTCCTATGCGACCTGGGCTACCTCCAGATCGTCGCCATCCTCGTCGTCATCGCGCTCACCATCTGCACTGAACGGGCTAGGAGTCATCGGAAGAAGAATACCCTTGACCAAGGCCCGGATAAAATGGCAGCCATCTGACCATTCGGATTTGTCGTCATCGTTATCCTGCCAGGTCCGCCTCCCTTGGGAATAGGTCACTTAGCTTGAGCCTTACCGGATCCCGACTCCACAGGTTTAGGCACAGTCGTGGCGGATCCAGTTGTGACCGCCGGTATCACAGCGGTGGATTCGATGGTAGATCAATCCTTGGACCTCGCAGACTCCGTCTTGGAGTACGATACAGTAGTGGATCCCACCATGGGCGCCGCCTTCGGGGATTAACTGGGCTTGAATCCCGCATTAGAGGTATCTTGACCGTGAATACAGTTGTTGACGCTGTAGACCCGGAAGTTAGCGGACGCTGCAGCCCGATTGTGGATCTTCCCGGCGACTGGGCAGTAGGTCCAACATTAGCGACCATAGGCCCGGTATTGGATCCGGACCTGGACGTCGTAGATCCCGTCTTAGTAGTAGCTCCCGTCTGAGATGTCACCTTTGCGGCGGGGCCGGCCTTGGATCCAATTATGGACGGTGCTTTCGCCGTGGATCCAGACTTGAATGATAATGCAGTAAGAGATCCAGTTGCAAGTATCGCTTTGGATAGAGCCGTTGCAGTGAATCTAGATTTAGATCCAGGTTTGGATTTAGACGATGTCGAGTGGCTCCAGAATACAGGTGTGTTTATAATATGGTTTACAAAACTAAAACATCCCCCATGCCGTCACCCATGTCGTCCCCACCTCCCGCCCCACAATCATCGTCGGATTTTTCTGCATCACCAGGGGAGAGATCCGGGCCTGCTTGCGGAGCCGGGGAGATCATTTACCAGACGTCGTGGATTGAATACGAGGGAGTTTCGCTGATGATCCACCACACCCAAAGCGTGACGCGTAACCGCCGCAGCGGCGCCAAAGACACCGATTTAGGGACGATCCGAAGGCGAACGAAATAGGACCCGAGATCGCCGCAGCCACTACTGCCGGCTTCTGGAGTGCCGTATCACGTTGGGCAAGACCTTCACCACGTTCCAGAGCTGGCTGCTTGTGCTGTTAATAAGCAGCCGTAACTTGATCCCGCAATTGGATAGGTGCCTTCTCAGCAGTATTCCGTTTGTGAAACAACAACAAAAAGTAAGTGCTAGCTTTGCAGAGACGAGCTGAGAGTGAATCAACGTACTCAGACAAAGTACCTTCGTCTCCAGCACTGTATGCGTTAGAGTGGCATTCGCCCATTCAGCGGCCGCCTTGACATGCTGGAGCTCAAGCTTGGTCATGTTGTCCTGCAACTCACCACGAGCCCGCGTAGTCATAAGTACGAGCTCCTCATGGCTCTCGTTGCCTCCCGCTGTCCGTCTGCTAAGCGGCTTTTGAGACGCCTTAGACTTGTTGAATGACTGGACAAAAGCGGGACCCGGTGACAAAGTGGGTGGTCCTGGTATCGAAGAACCACCGTGGGTCAATCTCATTGTAGATCCCCCATCCCACAAAGTCTTTGGTCACCACTTTCCCTAGCGTCAGATGCAGTTCGTCGCGGCTCTCGGCGGCGGATGCATTGGCATCGTTGGCGTTTTTGAAAACCCGCTCCAAATCGTTGGCGGATTAGAGATCCAAGATCCCGGATCTGGCAAGCTGCATATCCCTGAAGCAGGCAGTTGCTGGTATCCTGAAGGCGATCCCGCCGATGCGAGAATCGATCCAGTTGCTGTTCCAGGTCGCCGGCCTCTACAGCCTGGCCCGCAAGCAAACGCCGCAGATCCCGAGGGTAGGAATCTGCGCGGTGCTCCCAGCCTTGGATACCCATGGGATTTGAGTGGCGAAAGAAGCAGAGGAGACGGATTACAGAGCTTGCCGAGTAACGCGTGCACGCCGAGCTGCAACACGAGCAGCCTGAGCAGCCTTCTGATCCGTCGTCAGCGTATCAACTTGGTCGGATAAGACCTGAACCAGGGCCCGAAGGTCCGAAGTGGGGGCGGGTGGAAAACCAGGAGGGGTGGGCGGGGAGGCTATGGTGGGAGCCTTTCCTGGCCTCTTGCTAGTACGTTTCGTAGGCACCATGTGTCGTGCGTACAAAGAATATTTTGTGAAAGTGCGGTTACGGAACGCTGACGTCGTGAACGCCACCGGGTGGCAGCAACCACGTACAAGGCCGACTGTGGTGAAGTGCTTTCTCAGAAAAAGATATGGGATGTGATAAGCAGCCATTGTTGGAGGTTAGTGACATAACCTGGCAAATATGGTGTTCAAGAGTGGGTTGGGTCTGTATGAAGTGGGTCCGAGGTCGAGGCTACCATGAGGAAGCTCAAGATGGCGCGGATAACGTGGAATAATACCGATGAGTAGAGATCCCGTAGTGGAGTACCTGGATCCAGATCCTATGCGTGCTGACTGGGTAGACCTTGAAAAAGGGACTAAAATTGATGGACCTCGAGGATTAGAGTTGCTAAGAGGATTCAAGTGGATCTGGCATGGATGACGGACGAGAAGGAAATATCCATCACTAAATGGCCAAGATCACACTGTCCCGAGTCCGGATCCAACGGAATAAGGATCAATACAGAGGGGTGATATTTACTTTCAAGTTGACTTCGATTACTTCCGAGTAATCTGTGTTTGTCCATAACTCCCCAGTAAATTTAATATCCCTAAGTAAAGTGGCGCATGTTGAAAATTGTTTATTCGCATTTGTAACGATCGAGTAACGTTGACACTCAAGATCTTAGTGTGATGCATAATACAATCAGCAATGTGGTAGGATAAAATATATGTGGTATGTAACAGGGGAAATCAAATTGGGTGTGCAGCCTAAAACCTAACGCTACCCTACGCAACGGAGCGAATGTAAAAGAAAACCTCATTTGATCAGGATTCGCGAG